CACCTGAGATAGTTTCTGAAGACGATTAAGGCAGTGCGTCAGAGCGACGATTGACTCCGCCCACTTCTTTTCGTCCGTGATGAGCTGATCACTGTATAATTTGCCTCTCGGCTGCACGTACAGCGGTCGTGCGGCCATTTTTCGCTGCTCCTTGGCAGCGCCAGTACTAGCCAACAAGGCGGCCGTAACTGCTCGAGGATCCTTCTGGAGGTTTGGGTTGATAGCCGGCGGGTCAACTGGCAAGGAACGCCAATCTGACAGGGGCAGATCAGTAAAGCGTTTGGCCCCCGAGAGTTCACTTGAGACTGGGTCCGAATCGACAGCCATCGACGAGCTTTTACACAAGAGAAAACAATAATAAATATCGGATAGGCATTTCCCATTGCTAAATATTGTGAGGTTTCACCGAATGATTCTAAGAACATATAGCGACATAACAAAAAGTGTATAGCTGGGCGTTTAACAGGAGGGAGAGAAAACAGTGCGATGAAAGTACCTCCTAGATTAACAAACGCACAACCTAAGACTTTATTTGATACAGTCTAACTAATAGAGGCGGTTATCAACGTGTTTTCGCTCTGAAGAGCATAACTTTGGAGAGCCGTTGATAGAAGGTGCAGAAGGTGTAGAAGCGTTCAGGTCGTCCAAAAATGTGTTTGAAGAGACAACTAATAAAGTAGCATGCAAAATCAACTAATGGCACCGGTGTCCTTGTACAGACGGTAAAACCGAAGAGTGTACCCAACCAATAGGACCCCTAAAAGCTCATGTCACAAGCATGCTGTCACATAATATATCGTTTAATGAACCAGGTAGAGGATACACTCTAATGTTGTGTTCACTTGAAGCGTCGCTCTGACCTATCTACCGTTCTCTCTTTGCCCTTCTCGTCTACATAGATTCCTGACTGTGAGTAATAAAGATGTAGATATGTTATCGGGTTGGCCAGCAGCCAGTTCCAGGACAGTTTGCAACAGGAAACAAAGCAACTGTCAGACAGGGCACCTGGTTCTGAAAACTGAGCCGTCGCTACTCCAGGTCTCGAATGTCGCAGATATGGTGGGAGAATTAACTAATGAAATACAGCAGCGTTTGATAAAATGGCCCGCCGTAGAAAACACAAAGCATAAACAAATAGCGTTTGACCTGGCCGCCTGTATGCCAAGGCCGTGTTCATGACTGCGGTACACAACCTAAGCCCTCACTGATAACCAAACTTTGCGTAGGCCAATTTCAACTAAAATTGCGGTAAACCCGGGCACTGATGCTCCCGGGACTTCATTGCTAGATTCAATAAAAGATACGCGAACTAGGTCGTTTGAAAGGCAGTTCACAGCGTTACACAGACTATGCTGCAGTAAATTGTCGAAACTGTCTGATTTTACAACTCGGACTTGTCCGGCAGTGGCTCGGAAAACATCAGGGTATGGACACAAACAACTGTTTTTCTTATCTAACGCAGCTGCCGCT